CAAAAGACTTGGGCCTGCTCTAGCAAATCGATGAACAACGGGAGGACAGTGCAGTTGCTATTAATTGTTCTATGCATATTTGGCAGGCTGGATCGATAGCATAGTGGGTAGGGCGTTTGCCTTGCACGCGGCCATCCTGGCCAACCCGAGTTCGATCCCTCTTCCCTTCTCGGAGAGCCTGGCAAGCTACCAAGAGTATGCCGCCTGCATGGCAAAGCCTGGCAAGCTACCCATGAAGTATTCTATATGCCAAACACAGTAACAAGAAGTCTCACAATGTTTCTGGGCCCACTCGAGCTAATTGATGAACAACGGGAGGACAGTGACAGTGACAGTGCATATTTGAATTCACCAGTCAAACTATCTGGTCCTATACATGGGGTGGGGGTGGGGGGAGGAATTTTTGATTACCAGTGTCTTTAATCAGTGTGCTCAAATTTTCTGTTTCTTCATGATTCCGTCTTGACAGGTTGTATGATTTAGGCATTTCTTCTTTTATTTTTCCCCCATAAGGGTTTTCTTTAGCAGTGCTCAGGAACATCTCACCAGTACTCAGCCTTAAGGTGCGAGGCTCAGGTCTGGCCATGTGGAACTGATTAGGCCTAGCACTGCTTGAGGCCCCCAGGACCACAACCAGTGATGCTTGGGGGAGACTCCGTGTTGCTGAGACCCAGCTCCAGGCTCATACAGGCAGGGCTTTCACTCCTGCGCTTGGAGCTAGCTTCCTGATCCTTAGATCCTTGTTTCCTTATAAACTGTCCAACATGTTGGCATAGTTCTCTGTATATAGCTTAACCATTGTTCATTGTAAGCCCCTTAATTCTTTGTATTTGTGGGATTAAAATAACTCCTCTTCCTTTCAAATTTGACAAGTCCTCTAAGAAATAACTAGACAAGTCTAGTAAAAAATTTATCAATTTTTTTCCAAAGAAATCACTCTTAGTTTCATTGATTCTTCATCACCTTTCTACTCTCTCTTCCCATTTACTTCATTTGTGTTCATTGTTATTTTTTTATCTAATTACTTTGAGCATTGTTTGATCTTATTTCAAACATCCTTAAGGTATACTAATATTAGGTTATTTTCCTGAGATTTTTCTTTTTGTCAATTTGAGCCTCACCCAGTGGTGTCAGGGCTTACTCCTGACTGTGCTCAGGGATCACTCCTGACAGGGCTCTGTTGATGGTGCTGGGGACCAAACCAGGGCCTTGCCCTTTCTGCCCTCCTTCAGGATTGTCCTGTCTCCTGACACTGGCACAAACTTCTCTCTCGAGCTGCTTTGCTGCATCCCATAGGTTTTGGTTTCTTTTCATTTTTATTTGACTTGGGGTATTTTTAATTTATCTTTTGATTTATTTCACATACTCTATTTTCAGTAGTAAGTTGTTTTGTGAATTGTTTTGTTTTCTTGTAGTTGATTTCTAGTTTCATACTGTTGCGGTTGGAAAAGATATTTGATAGGATTTTAGTCATCTTACATTTATCATGACTTGTTTTGTGACCTAATCTATATTGTGCCCTGAATAAAGTTTCATGTGTGCCTGAGGGATTTAGACCTGGGGCTGCAGAGAGAGTACAGCATTTCACCAAGCAGTATTTCTGGGTTCTATTCTGTATTAGTTGGCTGGAGCGATAGCACAGCGCGTAGGGCGTTTGCCTTGCACGCGGCCGACCTGGCCGACCCAAGTTCAGTTCCTCCGCCCCTCTTGGAGAGCCTGGCAAGCTACCAAGAGTATCTTGCCCACACGGCAAAGCCTGGCAAACTCCCCATGGCATATTCAATATGCCAAACACAGTAACAACAAGTCTCACAATGGAGACGTTACTGGGCCCACTCGAGCAAATTGATGAACAGGCAGGCCCTACAGTGCTTTCAAGGCATCCACTCCTACATTAACCCATTTCAGAGATTCTTTGTGGTGCAGGGGCTGGGGGGGCGGGGCACACTTGGCAGTGCTCAAATGACTCCTGGCTCTGTGCTCGGGGATCACTCCTGGCAGGACATGGGGAACCATATATGGAGTTCAAATGTGGGTTGAGCGTGTGCAAGGCGAGCACCCTACCTTCTGTATTATCACTCCAGCCCCTCGGGGATCCCTGTTTAGATGGCATGGTCAGGCCTTGAGGTGCTTCGTGGCTTACCATGTTCTGAATCTGCCTTTGCATGTCATTTAGTCCGCATTTGGCAAAGCAAAGATTGCTCAGTCTGTTCCCACCCCGATATAGTTGAAGAAATGGCATGCAAATTTTTCACTTACAGCATCACAATGGGAGAATTAAAATTTGCTTCTCTACTTTTTAATTCAGCTGCTCTCTCTCTGGGCAATCTTACCTATTTAATAAAAACAGTGAATAATCCCAACACCATCCAACATTTACCAAAGCATTTCCTATGCCAGGCGTTATATTGGACCTTTTGTTATTACCTCACTGGGTTTTGGGAACAGTCCTTAAACGTTATTGTCCTGTTTTACAGGTCAGAAAATTGAGGTTCAGAGAGGTTAGGTCCAAAGACTTATCATTGGCAGGGTGGCACTGAAACTCAGCCTAACTCCACAGCACGCTCTTCACGAGACTTGAAACTCAATGTTTAATCTCCCTGCTCTGCCAAAAACTGCCTGGCCTAGAACTTTGAGAATGAGTCTCCCTTCTCTCGCTTCATGCCCGCCGCTCTCCCCTGGGCCAGTCTAGCATCCGTATGTTTCCCTCCCCGTCCCATAACCCACCTCGGCTCAGATACTGCAGAACTCACCTGGCTCAGACCAATAACTTCACTTCCTTCCGCTTCCTCCCACATGTTTTTCTTATCTTTAGAGTTAACTTCTAAGAAAGTGAAGCCGATGATGTCACGCTGCAGTTTAAAAATTCTTAGACTTCCTCTTTTTGTTGTTTGTTTTGTTTCCAACCAGATTAAATCTGAACTCTTGAGCTTGACCTACACAGTCTGGCCTCATCACCATCCCCCACCCCACCCCGTCTGTCTGTCTGTCTCTTCGCCTTTGTTCCTGTCCTCCTCCACCAGCGCCCTTACCTTATGCTCGAGTCCACGTGGCACATGATCAGTGCCAAGCCCTTGCATTGCCCTGCACATCTGCATTTGTTTCATCTGCTTAAAAGTCTCTCTTGCCTTTGATCCGCCAGACAAACTCCTATTCTGCTCTCAAGATCCAGGTCACATGCTGCCTTCTTAGGTCTTTCCCCAGAGCTCCTGTTAATGCCTCAGTCATGGCCCTCTCTGCTCCGTTGTAAAGATCTGTTAACATGTTTGTCTCTACCATTAACTAAAATGGGTTTTCAAGACAGCGACCAAATCTGTGTAGCTTTCAGCACTTAACATAGAGTAGACTCAATAAATGTTGGTTTAATGTTTGAAGGAATGTCATCAAGGGTGTTTAAAACAATGGCTACAACTACACTAAATATTCCCTAAATAGAGGACTCTTGCAGTTCTCAGTATAATTGCTCTAGCAAACGGGCAGGCCCAAGGGAGGGTGAGCTCATTGTATTAAATAGCAAATGGATCCATAGCAAATGGGTATGACATTTAATGTATTTTTTTATGGGAGGGAGGGGGGTCCCATCTGAGATTGTTCTGGCTCCCCTCTTCTCCTGTGCCTGTGTGACCATTTGGCATTGGGGAAGAATCTCTGGACATCCCCCCTGGATGTGAGGATGGCTTTGGGCTCCACAGATTACCTTCCTTGGTCCTGGACTGGGCACTCATTTCTGTAGGTCACACTTAATAATGAGACATTTGATATATTCATTTCTCCATGTTCTGGTGGTTTATTTGATATAGGGACTCTTCAGGTAGAGAATTCCTCTTTTGTCTTTCCTCCAGACATTATTGACATACATTTAACAAAATGGTGATGTCTTGAGAGTATACAACTAAATACTTTGATATATTTGTACCTTGTGAGTGGATTCCCACAATTGCATGCATTAGTGGATTCATTTTCTCAGATTTCTTTGCAGGGGCGCCCCCACTTTCAGAGGTACTAGGGGACTTTGTGTCACCCAGAGTCCTGTGGTACCCAGGAACCCTGAGGGGTTCCTCCATGCAAAGGAGACCCTTCAGTCACGTCCTTTGAGCTGTCTCCCTGGTCCAGATTTGTTTTGGGTTTTTTTTTTCCCCATGGGAAAGCATCCATTCTATGCTCTTGACCAGTTTCAATCATACAAATGTATCACCCACAAAATCTGTGCCCTCTTCTATGATATAACCCCTAAACTAACACCTCTTAACAAACAGAGGACTCCTGTACTTCTCAGAATAATTTCGGAGAACTGCCATCCCCTGTCTCACCATCCATCTACTCTTCATTCAGCTGCTTGCTTCTTTGTTTCTGTTATTGAAGGCATGAGCTTCCCTTAGATTTTGTTTGGTGTCCAAATCCCACTTTCCTCAGAGCTTACTCCTGGCTCTGTGTTCTGGGGAGCACAGAGTCCCCTGGCGGGGCTCAGGGGACAATATGTGATGCCAAGGATATAACTGGAGGCTGCTGTGCGAAAGTCAGGTACCTTAACCCACCTGTCATGTTGTTCCACCCCCCACCGTGTGTGCATCTCTCCCCCCCCTTTGTCCCCCTCCCCACTCTAGGGTCCATGGAGAAGTGGACCCATGACCTTTTGTTGTTGTCGTTTTTGTTTGTTTGTTGGGTTTGGGGTCACACCCAGCAATGCACAGGGGTTAGTCCTGGCTCTGCAGTCAGGGATTACTCCCAGCGGTGCTGGGGATTGAACCCAGGTCAGCCACATGAGAGGCAAGTACCGCCCCCCCCGACACACACACACACACACACACACACACACACACACACACACACACACTGTACTGTATCTCCAACCCCCCAGCATGTCTTGTTTTACTCCGTATGACTTGGTGTCGCACCCTTCCAATTTGCAAGAGTGGCATTTCCCTGTGGACAGTCGTCCTTGGCTCGCTGAGGCTGGGCATCGTGGATGTGCTCTGAAGCCAACTCTCCTTCCCTTTCAGCTGCAGCTGGAGCTGGAGAAAGGCGAGCAGGACAATGCTGAGCTGCAGGAGTTCGCCAATGCCATCCTCCAGCAGATAGCAGACCACTGCCCGGACATCCTGGAGCAAGTGGTCAACGCGCTCGAAGAGTCCTCCTGACCCACTTCCTGGGGAGCAGCCGGCCCAGCAGCTCGACATCGTGGACTCAAGCGCCAGGGAAGGAGACAGCAAGGAAGGTCACCCAGAAACTTCGCGGCACCAAACACTACAAACTTGAGCCCATCTTGCTCTGTCCCTTGAGTGTGATTGCAGCGCCCATTTCCGCGCCTGTCATCTTCGTCTGCCTTTCGACTTGGGCCGTGGCCCACGCGCTAATGTTCTTATGTCCAGGATGGGGAAGTGGCCAAGGCTCCAGGAAGACCTGCCCGGTGGCCGTGCACGGTGTAGACTGTGGAAGCGGGTGGCGCTGCCCTCCAGAGGGACAGGGAGTTGGGCCTCTTCCTCTCTGTCCCAGCATGAAGACTCAGTGTGCCCTCTCCGGGAGCTCAGCCAGTGCGGGAACATCTCGCCGTGGCCCAGAGCTCAGGGTTCTCCTGTCGCTGCAGGTGCTTCCTCCCAAACGAGTCAACTCAGTCTCCAAAAGAGAGAGTGTTAGAAGCAGAGAATGGGAAAGCGAGAAAGGACAGGGACTCTTCTCACGGTCTCTGTAGTTGACTTTTCACGTGTAATATTTTATGCAGGGGAGCCGCCTGCAGACCTCGTGTTGGCCTGATGAAACGGTAGCCCCAGGTTTTATCCAACCCTCCATGGACTGTCTCGCTCACCCTTGCTCTTCTCGGCCAGTGAGCAAGGGAGAGCGGGATGACCTTTCACCCCAGACCCCCGGCCTTACTCTCCTGGAGGGTGTCAGGTCACCTGTCTCTGAGCAAGAGACTAGAGGGGTGGGCATAAGACGCCATGGCCCCACCTGCAGCTCTGCTTCTTTAGATCGTTCCTTCCAGCCATCTTCCTCAGCAACATTCTAGGCCCCAGAGCCCCCAGAAGAATGTTTCCACCTTCCCAGCACCCCACCCCACTCCCCACCACACCCACCTCCCACCCTTTCCTCTCCCTCCTGGCTTGCACTGCTGGAACCACAGCCTTATGCGTTGCTTGGAACCTCTTTCTGGCATGAAGAATGTTTCTGCTCCCACTCACATTCCTTCCTTCGTTCTTTCAGTCAAACAATATTTACCAAATGCCCACCGAGAAGAAGACGCTCTTAGGCGCCCATTGTCGAAAAGGCCTCTTGGGTGAGGATGAGCTCTAGAGGATTTGGTGAGAGGCCTCGCTGAAGAAAAGGGGGAAAAAAAAAACAGTCAAAGGCGGCGGACCCTTCCCCTCACCTGCCTTCCTAGAAGATGTCTTTTCTAGAAAACTCTCTCACAGGTCAGCATTTTTCATTTAAGTGGAATTGAGGAGTTTGCAGGTGAACGCAGAGGGGTGAGTTACAGAGACATACCAACCAGATCCAGTCAGTGATTCAGGGTTTGTGATTGCTGCTCTTTCTCTAAGAACGTATGATACTGGGGCCGGGGGGGATGGCATTTTTTTAAAGATATTTGTGGGTACCTTGTGGAACATGGCCGGCTCCATGATTGCCAGTCAGAGAGCTGATCCCAAATTCCAAATCCGGCAGAAGGCATTGCATGTAGAAGGGCCTTACCCCGAGTGCAGACAGTGATAAATACGCAGGCACTAGAAAACAAACTACTTAGCCCGATCTAGCCCTTGGACCACCTCTGCGGCCAGGCCCAGCCCCCCTCATCTTCTGATAAGAAGTGCCAGGCCCTTGTTCCTGCCCTCTTTCCTCGGCGCCGTCCCAGTCCCTCCCGGAAGGAATCCAGCACTGCTGGTGTCTTCCCACCAGCAGCCCTTGAACTGTCCATTGACTTATATGGTCAGCTCTGCGGCCGCCCAGATTCCCCGCTGTCAAACTCTCCGCCCGAGCAAGCTGTGGCGTGCTCCTTATCACCGCCGAAACGGCCTCTGCTCCTCAGCTTCCTCCCAAGATGCTTCCTGATAGCCAGCCCCGGCCGGAGTGTGTGCAGGGGCTAGATGATAAGAGGTGGTTGGTTGTGGTCAGTCCCCGCGATCCAGTTTCTTTATTGCTTGGCCCATCCATCTTGGAACAAGCCCTGAGAATTTTAGGACTGGGGGGTGAGGGGAGGGGCTCCAGTCTTACTCTGGCTGCCCTGAGGCGGAGAGCAGAGCTGAGGTCCCCACTCTCCGAAGGATGGCTCCAGGGTAGGACGCACCGGACGCTGCCGGGCTCAGGGAAGTGAGCTGGCCTGGCCTGGTTCTGGCTCCGGCTTGCTGTTCTCCAACAGCTTGGCTAGGGACCCCCTGAACCACCCAGAGTGCCAATTCTGCCATTCCTTCCCTACTGGTGCATGACTTACTGCACCCCCTTCCTTCCTTCTCGTCCCTCAAGCCCCACCCCCCACCGCCAATGTGATCAGAGTTTCCTGGACAGGTGCTTTGGGGATGCAGGTTGCCCGGGCAGGCAGCATCTGTCTGCTCGCGCCATGAGCCACCACGGGGGTTTCTGTGACCCTTTCTCAGCAGGAGACCCTTTCTCCTGGCATTACAACTGTTTCTGGGGGTGGTTTAGTCCTAGAAGAAAGTAGGATCTGGCTCAAGTTTGGTTGTGAGCGTGACCTGCCCTCTATAGAGCAGAGTTGATGCAGTTCTAGCATTTAGGCCTGAGTGATTTGCCCACCCTGTACCTTGCAGGCTGCTACTGGTCTGCCAGCCAGTGGTTTTCAGCCACTGGTAATATCATTCTTGGAGCCAAATTTCGCTGTTTGCCTTTTCCATCATAAGAGAAAATGTCATCCCATGGCCCTCCTCTCTTCATGGTTTCACAACAGTCACTCAGCTGGGGCTGGAACAAGAGTTCAGCGGGGAGAGCTTTTGCTTGCATGCAGCCAACCCAGGTTCCATCTTCAGCATCCCATAAGGTCCCCCAAGCACCACCAGGAGGGATTCCTGAGTGCAAGCCAAGAGTAAACCCTGAGCGTGTCCAGGTGAGACCCCAAAAAACAACAACAAAACAGTCACCCAGCCGTTCCTGGAGATGGAAAACTCCCCACAGGCTTTCCTCCTCACAGTCACCAAACTCCTTCTTGCCGTTGGCAATTCTAGGTGTCCTTTCGGACCTAAAAGCTCTGTACCCCAAATCAAGGTCTTCAAAACGAGACCATAAAAAGAACAGTACATGGATCCAGTCTGGTTCCTGGTTAAAAATACTCATCATAACACATGACTTTCTCCTCTTTCCAAGCACCTGTTCCCCAGGAACTGGGTGAGTTCTTGATGAAGTACCTAAGTTGAAATTTGCACGGACTTTGGTGATGAAATGTGGGCTTTCATCTGTTGAGAAATGCAAGTGGGAATCCCCAAATCCATCTTGGCTCCAACCGTGACCTTGTACTTAAAGAAGATCTAAGTCTCCTCTCTCTTCCCGAGACTTGGGCTGTAGAAATTCTAGCAAAGCCGGCCAAACCCAAGGCCGCCTTCAGGGTCCAGAGTGGCCTGGGATTCAGCCCGTGCAGGGGGAGGGGTCCCTGAAGTTGCTCCTTGACTCACCCACTCCTCTGGGTTCCGGTCCCGGGCGAAGAAACCTCCAGCCGGTGTCAGCTCCCGCCAACCAGCCGCTCCCCGTAGCGTTCAGGTTTGCTGCTGGAGCCCCTCCCACCCCCTGTCTGGCCGCGTGACTCCAGCCTCGGCCCACCAGCCCCCTCAGGGTCTTTGAGGAAAGAGCTAACGGAGAGGTGACTGGCCACATAGCACGTGCCCCTCGCAGGCCCTTTGCAGTGGCCGTGGGCCCAGGATCCGTAGTCTCTCCCTCCCAGCCTCAGCCCCGTCGGCAAGAGTCCGGGAGTGGCAGAGGAGCTGAGAGGAGGAACAGGCAGCACCGTCTGCTTGCCCCTCGCAATGCTGCCAGACCAACCCATCCATCACTGCCAGTCCCTGGGTTTCTCAGGACAGCGATTCAGACACTCAGAGAACGGCATGAAGAAGTCGGAATTCCCACCCCCCACCTTCCCCTCCCCCAACACACACACACACACACACACACACACACACACACACACATACCATGAACCAAGGGAACATTTGGGCAAGAATACACAATGCGTTACAGGGAGATCCTTCTGAACAAAATGGCTGTCTTTTTCATTACTCTTTTTCAAGCAAAAAACTGTTTCCAAACTTTTTATTGTCAAAACCGTAACCAAGTCTCTCCTGATTTTTTTTTTTTACCCCAATGTGTTTGGTGAGTGCTGTAACCCTATTGTAGGTATTTCTCCTCCTGAGTCTTTTGGGGGAGAGGTGGTGGGGGGGGGCTGATTTGCAGAGAAGCAAATCCCATCCCGTTCCCCCCTCTTTTGTTTCTCTGCTTGTCAATATTGTCTGTGTGGTTCAGAGAATTAGGACAGTTCCATTGTGTCCATTGTTGAGATTATTAAGATATTAAAAAGTAGTTGTAGAGCTGAACAATTAAAGAGCTGTGTTTAAAAAAAAAACATACAAACCAATACCATGTTAATTAACAAAGGAATTCAAGCTATGAGGCAGCCCCCACCCCTCACCTCCTCGGAGCTGGCGGAGGGGCAGCGGGGGCCCGCGGAGAAGCAATGACCGCGTTGCCCACTGCAGTGCCAGGTTCGAGACTCCACTGAGCTCTCAGAGGGGTGTGGGGGCGCAGAGGGTCCCGACCGTGCCAGTTTCCTTACACTTCCTCAGAACCTCCGAGTGGAGGTGTCAGGCTGTGGCCCCATCTCCACCCTCACCCCACTTCGGTTCCAGCTCCGAGTGCCTAAGACTGTGCGGGAACCCGGGCCGGCCCGAAGCCTCACGCCTGCCTCAGCCCCCCTCAGGCCGCAGAGCCTCGTTCGTGCCCACTTGGTGCTATTTCATCCAGTGACCCATCCAGTACGGGCCGTCAGGTCAGCGGGCTCTCCTCAGATCCGTTCCTGCTGGCTTCAGTCCCGAGCACCTGGCCTGAGAATCTTCGCAGAACCCAGATCACCCCGCCCGGGCTGTTCTCTCTTGGCCCCAGAGATGCCACAGTCAGGAAAGGAAGGGAACCCTCCCGAGGCCCGAGAAGGGGCGTGGGCTGGAGGGAGCCCCTCTGCGCCCAGCCTGCTTTGCACACCACACCAGTATTGGCGCCCACCCTCTGTTGCGGCGCGGCCCACCGGGGCGGCACTCTGCTGTTCTGGCCTGCCTGCCTGCCTGCCTGCCCCGGGCCGGGCCAGGCCAGCACGCCAGCGGTTCTGGGAGGGAGACATGGGGCCTTTCCGGGGCTCGCTCCCCTCTGCTTCAGAAGGAAGTGCTGCACTTTACAAGGTGCTGAGGAGCACTGGGTACTGACACCTTTTAGCTTGAGTTCCTTTTGGTGACAGTAGCAGCCGCAATGGTGGCATCTGTGATGCAAAAATGCACCACTGCCTTCCACCGTGTGTGTGTATGTGTGTGTGTGTGCGTGTGTGTGCGCGCGCGCATGCGTGTGCACGCGTGTGCGAGTGCAGTGGCTGGGGTCATGTTACTGACAGGATAATGACATTACAAAGAAATTGTGTTATGGTCAATTTTGCCTTGATAATTATTGTAAACACTTTGTTCATTTTTTTTCTTTTTTATTCACAAACTAAATCCATCAGGAAATTATAAAGTTATTTAAAAAGTGTGTGCTGTGTCTTTCTTTGAGTCTCATCATTACATCCAAGGGGAATATGTGCTCACACTGTAAGACGGAGAGGGGCTGGAGCGCTAGCACAGCGGGGAGGGCGTTGGCTTTGCACTTTATGTGGCCGACCCGGGGTCGATTCCCAGCATCCCATAGGGTCCCCCGAGCACCACCAGGAGTAATTCCTGAGTGCTGAGCCAGGAGGAACCCCTGTGCATCGCCCGGTGTGACCCAAAAAGCAAAAAGAAAAGAAAAATGGAGAGGCCAGAGGGCGTGAGAGGTCAGCTTCCATGGCCGGGACCCAGGAATCAGGGTCCCCCGGATCAGGATCGCATGTTCAACCCCTCCACAGGCCTGGTGGGTAACTTGAGCGAGAAGAGTTTGCTCTTTGGGGTCCCCCCGTACTCCTGACTGGTAGCCCCTCGAATTGCCTTTCAAAGTCAGTTTCCACGTCTCTCTTGCCACTCTCATGCTAGGCCAAACCAGACCCCCGTTTGTGGGTCTGATCGTGCTCTGAAGCTCAAAGTTCCCCGGCCCCAGGGTCAGGAACTGCTCCCACACCGGAGAGAAAGCGCTGAGGAGACAGGGCTTGGGAGCCTTTGTTCGGAACTGGGGTTCAAGCTGGCAGGCTGCCTTTCCAGCTGGATCAGGAGCTGCGTCAGCCAACGGGAATGGCGGAGGCCAAGCACGAGAGCAAGCCGAGAACCTGTGCTGCCGTCTCCCTGCTGCTGTTCGCCTTTGACTTGAGGCTCCGTCAGTGATTCGAGCTGAGCCCAGAGTGACAGTAGAGCATTTGCGTTGCCTGCAGCCAACCCGGGTTTGATCCCCAGCATCCCATATGGTCCCCCTGCCAGGAGTGGTTCTCAAGTGCAGAGCCAGAAGTAAACCCTGAGCACAGCTGGCTGTACCCCAGAGGGAAGAAAGAAAAAGAAATTACTCTGGGGCTGGAGTCGGAGCAATAGTGAGCAGGCAGGGCTCTTGCCTTGCACGCAGCTGATCGGGTTCCATTCCCAGAGTCCCATATGGTCCCCAGAGCCCTCCAAGAGTGAGCACGGAGCACAGAGCTAGGAGTAAAGCCTGAGCATTCCTGTGGTGGTTCCCAAAACAATTTTTCTGAGGTATTTTTCATACGAGAATGAGTTCTCTGGGGACCGGAGCAATAGATACAGTGGGGAGGGCGTTTGCCTTGCACACGGCCGACCCGGTTCAATCCCCGGCATTCCATATGGTCCCCTAGCACCGCCAGGAGTGATTCCTGAGTCCGAGCCAGGAGCAACCCCTGAGCATCGCTGGGTGTGACCCAAAAAGCAAAAAATAAAAAGAACTAGTTAGAGCCCATGGATCTGGGGTGAGGGGGCTTCTGGGGAAGCTGCTCGAGGGGGCTGGAAAGGCTCCTGTGCTCGCAGCCTGCAGCCCTGGGCTGGCCCCAGCCTCAGTCTCCCTCCGCTCCCCCTCTGAAGCGATGCTGCTTCATCCAAGACATCGGCCACAAGCCACGATGAGGATGATTGATGGTTCTGTTTTTCTCATTCTGAAAGCTCGAAGAGTATAAATAGCTTTGAATTGTTTTCTTCACCTCGGCCATTTGCTTTAAAATAATCTGGTATTGGGGCAAAAAACTGCCAAAGGGCCGGAACACGTGTTTCAGACGCAGGAGGCCCAGGGTCGATCCCTGGTACCTCCCGGTCTCTCCCACCCAACCCCGGCACCACCAGGAGGGATCCGAGAAGGAAAACAAGAGGAGTAATGATGGTCCAATGTGTTGAGGAGCTGTCAAACAGCTGAAGTCGAGCTTCATGCTGGGGTCCCTCTAGTTGGCAAATGTTTGAAATTTCTTTTGAAATATTCACGTCCTTCAACGATTCTCGCTAGTCACCACCCAGAGACCTTTCCCCTCAGAACATGAACAAACTGCCCCCCCCCAGGACTGAGTTCCATAGTGTGGCTCCCCCATGATAGCTGGGGGCCACATTCAGCTCTCAGCATTCAGTGTGCCTCTTTCCATATCCTCTTCCTTGCACTCCAGTGAGTTCTGCACTCTGCCCCGTTTGCCTGCTGAGGTTTCTGCCATGCAGAGGTAGGACTCGTCACTTCTACGCCTGCTCTCTCCCCTCTCTGCCGGGGCTCATGGCCTGTGGAAACTTCCCCATGGCATCGGGTGGGGTCGAGTGGGCCGTGACACAAAGGCTCTTCACAGAACTTGAGGTTGAATCTGGAAAGATGGATTTTGCCAGCAGGAGCTAACGGGGGAGGGGACACAGAAAATAAGTGACAGAAAAGGGCATGAGGTGTTGAGGGCAGCAGCCACTGGTAGCCCCAGGTCGGGTACTTGCCAGACTGAGGAACAGGGAGAAGACATGATAGTGGCCCATGTAGTGGTGTAGCTCTCTAAGGTGGGGGTCCCCATCCAGCTGTGCTCCGAGGTTCCTCCTGACTCTGCACTCAGGATCACTCCTGGCAGTGCTCTGGGGACCATATGGGATGCCCCCGATCAAAAGCAGGTTAGCCGCCTGCAAGGCAAAAAATCAGAACAAACAAACACTGTCCTCCCCCCGTTGATCATCGATTTGCTTGAGCGGGCCCAGTAACGTCTCCATTTTGAGACTTGTTGTTACTGTGTTTGGCATATCGAATACATCCCGGGTAGCTTGCCAGGCTTTGCCATGTGGGCGAGATACTCTCAGTATCTTACCAGGCTCTCCGAGAGGGGCGGAGGAATCGAACCTGGCTCAGCTGGGCTGGCTGTGCGCAAGGCAAACGCCCTACCGCTGTGCTATCGCTCCAACACTCTGCCCATATCTCTTCAGCCCCAAGAACAATTTAATTTCTATTTTTGTGTGTTTTAATATTAAATTTTTATTGTACTGAATAACCATGAGACAGAGCATAACAAAGCTGTTCATAATTGGGTTTCAGTCATAGAGTGCTCCAACACCCATCCCTCCGCCAGCATCATTTCCAAGCAGCAGTGTCCCCAGGTTCCCCCCCACAACCTCCCAAACCACCCCCCACCCAGCCTTCCTCCATAGCAGGTACCTCTCTCTCTCTTTCTCGCTCTCTCTCTCTCTCTCTCTCTCTCTCTCTCTCTCTCTCTCTCTCTCCCTCTGTCTCTCTCTCCACCCCCTCATTTAGGCACTGTGGTTTGCAATACAGATGCTGAAAGGCTGCATCATGCATACCCCTCCACCTACTTCCAGCACTCAGTTCTTGTCCACAGTGATCATTTCCAACTAATGTTCTGAACAGTTTAATTTGGTTTTGGCCCCACATTGGCAATGCTTTTTGGGTTACACCCTGCAATGCACAGGGCTGACTCCTGCCTCTGCACTCAGGGATCACTCCTGGCGGTGCTCAGGGGACTGTCAGGGATGTCAGGGATTGCACATGGCTTAGCAGCATGTAAGGCAAACAGCCTCCTTGCTGTACTATCTTTTCTGCCCCAGGCTCTGTAACTTTTTAAATTAAGAACAACAAACTATTCACCTTTTTCTCCTAACAAGCTCAGTTCTTGTCAGAGCTAGGTTATATTTATTTTTTTATTTACCTTTTTTGCTTTTTGGGTCACACCCGGCAATGCACAGGGGTTACTCCTGGCTCATGCACTCAGGAACGAGTCCTGGTGGTGCTCGGGGGACCATATGGGATGCTGGGAATCGAACCCAGGTCGGCCGCGTGCAAGGCAAATGTCCTACCTGCTGTGCCATCACTCCAGCCCCTGGATTATTTTTATTCCCTTTTATTTATTCACCTGCTTTGTTCCCTGGATAGGCGGGTGACTATGAAGGGACTTAGGGGAGTCCATAACGTCCCAGGAGTCTGCGGGCAACAGCGTCACCACAGCCACAGGAGGCTGACCCCCAAACAGGTCCCTGGACTCAGGCCCGACAGACCCTGGACCTGGGTTTAATTCCTGGCCCCACACGATCTCCCGAGCACTCTCAGCGGCGACCCTGCAGACTCCCAGCACCGTCCGGGGAGCCCAGGTACCCCCGATAACACGGGGCCCAGGCAGCGTGGCATCCTCGGGGCCTCGTGTTCAACCGCTTGGCCCTTTGGGTCAAGAATGGCCAGCGAGGCCCCCTGACCCGAGCACTGTGTGGGAGGCCTGACATAAATAAATAAATAAATGAATAGTGTCAGCTCTGGGGAGCTTGCAGCCTGTGCCTCTGAGGATGGTGGGAGATACAGCCTGAGTTGTCAAGGGAAGTTGCCCCAGCGGTACACAGCCAGGAAACGTCTGGGGTTCAAACCCAGGTCGGGCTGTTGGCAACGTGTCTCTCGGGGCCCTTCCTGGGCCACAGCCCCAGCCAAGGGCTCCGTGTCAGCGAGGCTGCTGACATGTGATCTGGGACGCCGAGGAGCCTTTCGTCAGCCTCGCGGGGTGCAGGGGTGGAGGCCAGCGGGGTGGTTGCGGCTTTCCGAGGGGGGAGGGAAATGTGACGCCGGGCTGGTCCACCAGCGCAGTGTGTGTGAGTCACATCAGGGGCTCAGACTGCCAGGCGCTGGGCAGCGTGGACTCCCCAGTGGGAGGCCAGGAGGCGCTGTGAATGTCCTCTCCCTTCAGGGAACCCGGGTGGGGACACGGAGGCCACGTCAGCCCTCCCGTCCTGGAGACCGCTTGGTCGCACTGTCTGGGGACGCGGTTGTACCTGATGAGCCTCCAGGCCCCATGCTGGGCCCTCTGGGAAACAGATGCTCTCTCGCCCCAGCGCCTTCAAGAGCAGATGTTCATCTTGCCCTTCCAGAAGGATCCCCCGCCTTCCCGGCTGGTCTCAGGCCACCCCTGGCCCCTCCGCCTGACTTGTAAGCGGGAAGACCTTGAACCCTCCACTGAAGAGCCGAGCGGGACACGTGAGGAAACCACGTTCGCCAGACGTCTGCCGGGTTTTGGCCAAAGAGCCGTCTCGGGCCCCGGGTGGAATTCATACTCCAGAGCTGGTCCCCTCTTGGTTCATCCTGGCCTAATTTTTTTTTTATTATGATGATGATTTTATTCTGAA